GACGGCTCTCCTGGGCCACAGCTTTTCTTTAAATAATAAAAAACGAAATAAAAGCGACCCGTACCTTCGGTTCCCGCCGGGGGTTCCCGTAGCTGTCACCTCTGAGGTGTCACCTCAGAGTTGTTTGTGACTGACTTTTCCTCGCTGTCTTCCAGCCTCTGCTGCCAGTGCGGCGTGCCCATCCCGCCCAACCCGGCCAACATGTGCGTGGGCTGCCTGCGGGCACAGGTGGACATCACCGAGGGCATCCCCAAGCAGGGCACCCTCCACTTCTGCAAGCAGTGCGAAAGGTGGGCAGCCGGGCCCCGCTCCCCCGCCTCGGGGCGAAGCCCGCTCCTGAGGGGGAAACGGGCGCAGCGTACGCCGGCGGTGCGCGTTTTCATCGGGTCTCGTGGGATTTTCCAGCACGTTCCTGTGGTTTTTTTCTTGTGGAAGTGGAAAAGGGATGGTATGTAGGGCCTAGAAGATTGAAATGGGTGAGTTTGCGGTCCCTGAAAGAAAGAAGCGGGCAATTTGGTAAGGATGGCAGTAAAAGTGTGAATGCATTTGGAATGCGTGAATCTGAATGCGTAGGGAGGCAAAAATTATAGCTGCGTAGTTAATATTAAAACTGAAAGCCTGGTAAATAACTGCCCAACTTTTGAGTAATTTAATTTGCTGAAGCAGCTTCAATGTGCCGTAAAGCGCTTCCTGTGTCATAGGTATCTTCAGCCTCCAGGAACCTGGATTCAGTGTACCTTGGAATCAAGAGAGCTTCTTGCTTTGTGTCTTAAAAAAATCAAAGCTTCGCTGAGCAAGGTGAGTAGCTAGTTCTGTTGGTATTTCATAGCGTGTCTATTGCTATTGCTTAAAACGAAGTCCAGCTAACTGACGCAGGGTTCAGTCCTTCTGGAGCAGCCGTTTGCACTTGTGTAGAGCTTATCAACTGATTTATATTAAACATAGAGAATGACAATCTGGTCTCAAATAACTCTGTACTAGAATTTTGGACAATTCGGTAAGCACAAGCTCTAACAAAAAATTTCCAGGCATGCTGAAGAGGCTATTGCAGTGCAATTCTGTGACTTCAAAGCATACAGCGTACTGCACAATTGTTACTGTATAGAGGGGAGTTGAGCATAATTAACTGAAGGAAGCTAACATGTTTTTGATGCACCTTAATTTTACAGTTTTCTTTTTACACATTTTGTAAATTGTTTATACAATAGTTGTTCTTACTGGTTTATGACGATAAGAAAGAGGGTTGCAGAGGTCTATATGTAGATTAAATGGGAAGTCATATGTTTTAAGTTGAATAAAGTATTTCTTAGGTTCAGAATCTTGCCAGAGGAAAAAATCTGCGATAGTGTTTTAGGCAAAAAAATTGTTTTGTTACTGCAGTCATCAAGGTTTGAATTAGATTGCCTTATTGAGCTTCTTGCTGTTGGGTTAGTACTTATATATACAAAATACCCTTTGCTGCAGTAAATTTGCATGTTCTTAGTTTTAGAGATTAAATTGGCTTTTTAGTTCTGAGGAAACCATTATACTATCCAAATTCATCATTACATGGCATCCAGAGATACTGTTGAAGATAGTATTTAGTTACTGTGGTGTGACAGTCTGAGGTTGCATCTCCATTATTTTAGGTAGATCAGACTCTGTGTTCTAACTAACTGTTATTAATTGGGTTTGGTATACCGATACATATGTTTTTAATTAAGGTTATTCACTTCCTCACTTGGTTGAGGAGTAGCGGACTATACCATAAGCTTGTGTTTTCTGGTAGTTAGAGCTGTGTGTTTTTAACACCTGTACTAGTACAACTGCTGGCAGTAGTAGCTGAGTTCTCGTTCTTTCCCGCTGGCAGGTCCGGCTGATTGATGCAGGCTTTATTTGGACCGAGCCACATTCTAAGAGGCTGAAGCTGAAACTGACTGTTCAGAAGGAGGTAACTGGAGTATAGTGTTCTGCGTGTGGCTTTTAAAAAGCTTTTACGGCGAACAGTATGATTTTTTTTTTTTTTTTTTTTAAATTTTATTATTACATTTCAGATAAGTGGTTCTCTTTGGTAAAATCCAACATGTGTTTACTGGCTTATCTTGGAAGGGTATTGATTTCATGCTGCCTAGATTCTGTCATTGAGGTGCCATTCATCACAGTTGGAAGAAGGTTATCGGCTGTTCCAGTAAAGTTGGGAAAATACTACTAATATTTGTGGCCCAAATATAGCTGTCTGTCACATAATTTTAGTATAGTACGGAACTTATTTCAGAATGCTGTGGTAAACTAGTTTTCTGTCTCGACAGGATTAACAAGGAAACCTTTTAAACTTTTGTTTTGCAGGTGATAAATGGAGCAGTTCTTCAGCAAGTGTTTGTGGTGGAATATATAGTTCAGTCTCAAATGTGTGAAGACTGTCATAGGATTGAAGCTAAGGATTTCTGGAAAGCTGTAGTGCAAGTCAGACAAAAGGTAGAGGCAAACTCAATTTTCATTTGTTCATGGCAGAACAATCAGGGGCGCAAATCTTTGGATGAATTTTTTATTTTCTCAGAAAAAGATGTACTCACACTTGCGTGCTGCCACAGTAATAGATTTTGTGTTCGTGTTGGTTTTTTTTTCTTACTGATCTTAGTTTAGAAAAACTTTCTCTCTGCTGTCCAGTATTATTAGCATATTCTTTTTAGATGATGGCTGGCAGGAGGATCTTGTGTGAATTACGAAATATCCTTCTGTATTTTAAGGCAGTGTTAGAAACAGTGGTACAGATTGTTTATAAATATGTAAATCTTCGTTAAAGAAAACGGTATCTTTAGCAGCCAGTTACACAAAAATGAGAAACAGAAGCTTTAAATAATTTGGTATAAATAGAGCACATCTGTGAAATCTTTTTGGTTACTTGGAGTAGACTTTGGCCTGTTCCTTCTCTAGATGATCTCTTCATAGAAATGTTTATTCTTCAGAGATACTGCATTTGCACTAGATGGTTCTTAAATAACCTTGATGATTTTATCTTTGGTTTTAGACTCTGCACAAGAAGACTTTCTACTATTTGGAGCAGCTGATTTTAAAACACAGGCTTCATCAAAATACACTTCGGATCAAAGAAATCCATGGTAAGTGAAGTGGCTTGTTAGTCTAGAGGTAGAATAGATTAACCTGTTTTATATTGGAAGAGTGCTTGTGCTAGTAGCTATGTACAGATAAGCAGCAGATTACTTAGCCTATGTAATGTATTTGAAAAAAAAATACCATAGTACTTGAAATAGATATGTTCATCAAGCTTTCTTTTCTTTAAGATGGCCTGGATTTTTATTATTCTTCAAAGCAGCAGGCCCAGAAGATGGTAGACTTTCTTCAGTGTACAGTTCCATCTAGGTATATCATTTACATTTATTGCCTTGAATACTCAAAAGCTTTTGGGAAATGTCTTCTATCCTTCATTTTTAAAGAATTTTGTAAGTGGAAGGGTAAGAATCCCGTATTCTAGTTAAAACGGACAAAATGCTTTCTACGGAAGTCCCATGTTTTCCACTTAGGCATTTTAAAACTAACCCTCATGCATTTTTCTATTTCCTTAATTTTTGTATTTGTAGTACATAGCTATATACTTTCATTGCTATACTTTGTGCTGATTATCTCCTGTTTCAAGAAATGTCCTTCTTGCTGCCTGAAGGCTCTATTTTTATCTTTTGTAGATCAAAATCATCCCAACGTTTGATCTCCCATGATATTCATAGTAATGTCTACAATTACAAAAGCACTTTCTCTGTGGAAATTGTTCCAATATGCAAGGTAGCTTCTCTCTATTTTATCTTCAGGGTATTGTATGAAGTGGATTAAGTTTGGTTTTGGTGATGGAGGCCTGGTTTATTGTGTATTTGTAGGGATGGAGGGGTCTACTCCCCACAAAGCATGGAAAGCGCAGATTGCAGCTAGCTTGAGGAAGTTATCGGGTGATGCTGGGTGGAGAACTGAAAACATAAAGTTTAAAAATCTATTTCAGATTTCTCTAAAGATTTGATTAAAAATTAAGGAAATACGAGTGTAAATTATTTTCTGTTTGTATGCAGGACAATGTTGTATGTCTGTCACCAAAACTGGCGCAGAGTCTTGGTAACATGAGCCAGATCTGTGTGTGCATTAGAGTAACAAGTACCATCCACCTCATCGATCCTAGCACTCTGCAGAGTAAGTTATGGGTTCTTTTCGGCACTATGGCAGCATCTGATTTTTCTGCTGGCACAATTAGTTTTGTTTTGTTTTGTTTTCATGAAATCTTCTATTTTCAGACCATACTGTTGTAAATGTATCTGTACAATCACCGACGCAGAAATTTAATAGTGATATAAGACATAGTTCTCTAAGCTTGATTTCCGTAGTTTCCTAGGCGAAATGTGCAGGGTGAGTGTTAAAGGTCATGGATGTTCTAGGTCTCTGCTAAGCGCTTGTATTTGTCAGGTATATTCCTCTAAAATTAGGTCGCATCTAGTTTTTTCTCTGGATTGTGATTCTGGCCACTTCAGTACCAGAAGCACTGTGCTTTGGTTGGTATTTGCTGGTAAGCTCTACCAGCAAAATACCTCTATAAGGATACATCCAGGAGAATGATTCATGTGAATAAAAGGGTCAGTGCTTTAGACATGTGATATGGGATTTGGCTGTCACAGATCAACTGCTCTTGTTGCACGAGTTTGCAATATGGGTCATGTCCCAAACACTTGTATTGCAGTAACAAACTTGAACAAAATGCGTTTGGCATTTGCCTTAATTTTGGGAAATGCCTCCTTTTCCTTTTAATTCTTTGCAAGAAATTCTCTCCCTTGTGGTTGCCCATGCTGGTGGTTTTTTTCCAGTTGCTGAAATTGACGGAAATACCTACTGGCGCCACCCTTTCAACAGCTTGTTCCACCCGAAACAACTGGAGGAATTTATCATTGTGGATATCAATAGGGTTCAAGAAAAGAAAAAAGGTGCAGGTGCAGGGGCAAGATCAAACAAGGTAAGAGTTCTTCTCTGTTTGATTTAATGTTTTGGGCTTTCCTCTCCCCTCCCTCGCCTACTCAGCTGAACTTCTGTTTTGAATCGTTCTACCTTGCAAAGTCAGATGTGTGCTTTTCTGTGTCTTGCCACTGGCAAAAGCTCTTCTCAGGAAGATGTGGACAGCGTTCTGGTTTGGAAATTGCACAGGTGTGGGGTGAATTCCACTTTCAGAAATTCTTTTCTGTTGAAGAGTTTAAACTTTACTTGTTACTCTCATTATTGAAATTATTTTATATTAGCATTGCAACTCTTCAATTATTAAATTGGTTTTGTTGAAGTATAGAAGCATTTCTTTTTAATCAGAATTAATGAAGCAGTACCAAACATTTTCTTCTCAGTCAAAAGCTATATGTGGTTGAAAGTTGTGAAGGAAAAAAAAAACCACCAAAACACCAGTCCAGTTATAGAAACAGCCTTTGTGGAATTCTTGTGAGAAGTGGTTGGCAGATCCATTTCCTTCCTTTTGTAAAGATGAGAAATGGGGAGTAGCGTGCAATACATTGGATGCTTGATGTAGAAATAAAATTTTAATTACAAACGTAATTTAAAACAGTAATATAGCAGTGCAAATGTTAATAGCACAGCAAGTTAAGCTACATTTGATTACAAGGCTGTTTTGTTTTTCATTCCTCAAGCACACACTGGCTGAAGCCTGGGTGCAGAAAACCTCGGAGTTGAATACAGATCATCAGTATTTCTGCTGTACTCATTTGGGGCACATTCTGAATCCTGGCGACCTTGTCTTGGGGTCTGTTCTGTTTCTTGGTTTTTATTAAATGATTGTATAATGACTGAATTATCTGGATTCTGTACAGGCTTGTGTATTACCAAGAAAGTTTTGAACTGTTCTGATTTCTAAATGAAATCAGCAGAAGGGATAGAATCTTTCATCTTGACCATGAAGAGATGGTCCTAATACAGGAAATCTTTTTCTAGCAGAAGTCATCTTGGGAAAAGGGCTGTTAGTAATGAGAGCGCTGCAGTATTGATTTTAGAGTGCAGACTGGAATAACAGTTTAGACACAAATAGCTGGGCGGGATTTTTAAAATACCAAGCAAGATCTTTTTGTTTGATAATGAGTATCGTATGCAGCAATGACAAATGTGAAGTTTTTGTAAGATTAGGCAAATTAGGTGTTTCTCAAACAGGCAAAAACATGAATGTTATTGGAGCTGTTGTGAGCCCAACAGAACCTCAGTGGATATTGCTGTTTGGATGCAGGAGGCTGGGGGGTGCTACTGAACAGAATTTGGGAACAGCAGCTTCTGAGAGTTATTTATAGTTATGACAGCTGCGTATTGATGTGGATTTTTTATTTGTTCTGTAGTTCATTTGGAAACGTTTATCTTTCTTAGGAGCTGTAACTTAAACTATGCTGCTCTTTAATACAAACATACGAGACATTGAGTTTAATTTTGTGGACTTACATAGAAGGGTAGGATAAAATACCTGCTTTCATTTTAGATTCGACTTGGCGAACTGCAACTTAAATGACGAGTTTGCCAATAAGATGAACCCACACAATATTCCTGATGTGGTAAGACCATTTTCTTTCTCTGTACAAAGTTCTCTGCATTACCCAGGGGTATTAGGCAATATGATTTTATAATGAATACTCGCTAGTTCCGTAGTGCCAAAGGAAGAGGGGATCTTAATATTGAAATGTGAATAGCAGCTGATTTTGAGAATTATTTTTCTCACCACTTAAATTTTTGAGTTGAATAATACGTTTACTTTAACTTACCGTACTCTTTGTTGGTTTTGTTCAAATTACCATGCAGTGCGTGGTGAAAACTATTACAACTTCAGTGTGTATATGCCCCTTCAGGACGTAATCCAAAGTGCTTGGAAACCTTTGAATTGACAGATGCTATATAAATTCTATATAAAACTTCTGAGTGCCAGGCTGACTCTGCCATTTGTTCAGCTGATTTTACAGTTGCCCAAATCGAGACTTGAGTGGAGTCTGGGGTTTTCAAAGAGTGTCATCAATAGTATTGAAGGTGCGTATGTATAAATACTTGCTGGTTTTCACTGTAGGTATTAATAAAGAAGAGCTATGACCGTACCAAACGCCAGCGTCGCAGAAACTGGAAGCTGAAAGAGCTAGAAAGGGACAGAGAAGGCACGGATACAGATGACGAAAGGTTCAGTATCTACCATGAAGCTTTTTAGTCCCTCCTACCTAGGATACTGTGCCAAGCCTAAAAATAACATCTCTCAGTTTCTGCTGAGGATAAACCCAATGTAAGGCCTAAGCTGATGTGCTGAGTGTTAAGGGGGCACAAGCCAATGCTGCTGGCTCTGTTGGAGCATGATGCTGGCTCGGACAGGCTGATATCGGTGTTCTCTGAAGAGCTTTTCTCTCTGCATTTTTCCCCCTTCATAGAATCATAGAATTGTTAAGGTTGGAAAAGACCCTTAATATCATCGAGTCCAACTGTTAACCCAGCACTGCCAAGTCCACCACTAAACCATGTCCCTAAGCACCACGTCTACCCGTCTTTTAAGTATCTCCAGGGATGGAGACTCAACCACTTCCCTGGGCAGCCTGTGCCAGGGCCTGACAGCCCTTTCGGTGAAGAAGTTTTTCCTACTATCCAGCCTAAACTTCCCCTGGCGCAGCTTGAGGCCGTTTCCTCTCGTCCTATTGCTTGTTACTAGGGAGAAGAGACTGACCCCCGCCTCGCTACAGCCTCCTTTCAGGTAGTTGTAGAGAGCAATGAGGTCTCCCCTCAGCCTCCTCTTCTCCAGGCTAAACAACCCCAGCTCCCTCAGCCACTCCTCATAAGACTTGTGCTCCAGACCCTTCACCAGCTTCGTTGCCCTTCTCTGGCCACGCTCCAGCGCCTCGATGTCCTTCTTGTAGTGAGGGGCCCAAAACTGAACCCAGTACTCGAGGTGCTGCCTCACCAGTGCCGAATACAGGGGCACTATCACCTCCCTGTGCAGGGAGTGCTTCCCTAGTGCAGGAAGTGCTTTAAGCATACGCACCTTACTTACGTTTATCCTATCTGCTAAGTTTTCAGGGAACATGGATACTGAACTGAGGACAGTGGGCCAGGGGGGTGTGGAAACAGATTAAATCCTGAAATCTTAAAGATAACCCTGCAAGTTTTTCAGGTTTACTGCTGCAAAATGTAAAAACTATTTTTATGTTTTTTCCAAGAAAAGCTTAAATCACGAGACAAGTGAGTAATATCGGAAGCATTGTGTCTGTAGCTTACAGCTGGTGTCTGTCTAGCTAAAGGGACACTTCTGTGAAAACGTGCTTGTCACTGGTTTGTTCAGTGACAAAGCTGATACAGCAACAGCAGATTCTAAATAACGTTCAATTGAGTAGAAAAAATGAGGCAATTAGAGTTAAACGAGAACAGGCAGATTAAACAAATTATTTGGAAACTAATAGGTGATAGAAAAAAGCAGAAAGAATGAGTTGGAAATGTAGGAATGCTGTCAGAAGGCACGTCTGAAGGACTGTGGATTGCAGTCCTTCCTTGGGGCTTTGTTTCCTTGATTTTATTCTGTTTTATAAATTTACATAAACTCACAGGAAAAGTGAGTAAATCCATCTTTTACAGACAATACCAGGACTTCCTTGAAGATCTCGAAGAAGATGAAGCCATCAGGAAGAATGTCAACATTTACAGAAGTAAGGCCTTTTTAACCATTTAATTGCATGTAGCTAGATCGTGACTATCTGAGTGAAAATATTTTTACTGAAGTTCTGTATTTGGATTCTTTGACCTGCTGATGCCTAGAGAAATGCTGTGATGTAATAGTTTCAGGTATTCGATGTATTTCATGTCCACTGAATGGGTGTTGATGGTTTTTGTTTGCTTGCCTTTAACATGAGAGAGAGAAGCCTGTTTTCTCCCGCACCCAAAACCTCTGCTGGATGAAGGATCCGATACATAATTCAGCGTTTTCCATGATGGCAATTGCCATGGGATTGCTGGCTTTTAGGAGGGATTTGTTTGGGTTTGGTTTTGTGGTTTGTTGGTTGTTTTGGGGTTTTTTTCCCGGTCTTTCTTTGGGGTTGTTCAGGGGCTTTGGGTTTGTTTTCTTTGCTTAGCTCTTTGTTGGTTTTTTTTTCCTATTGCTTTTTTAGATGCAGAAGTTCCAGTGGAGAGTGACACAGATGATGATGGTCCTCCGCGAATCAGTCTGGCTGAAATGCTGGAGGATCTCCATATTTCCCAGGATGCCACTGGTGGGGAAGGGGCAAATATGATGACAGAATAAGAATAGTGTATTAGTCAATGCAATAAATATTCCCTTAGTGAGGAAAAAGTGCCCAAAACATAAGTAAACATTACAAACTGATCACGTGAACATGAAAAGTAATGTGGTAACTACCACTATACACCTAAATAGTGGTCCTAAATTAATATTTTATGTATAATTTTCTAGAGAAACAGCAATTAAAGTTAAATATCTGTTGCAAGCATTGCAATAAAAGTTCCACACGTTCCTCCCATCCCTGAGTGCTTTCTCCTTGCAACTACTGCAGTGTGAGGATCAGCTGACTAACTTCAGGGTTATCCATTGGGAGTAATCATTGTCTTGTGCTGAAGACAGCTGGTAAGGAAGGATGTCAGGAGGGAGAGATGTTATTCTAGTTTGCTGGATTTGTAGGTAGAGTACCTACCTACTGTTTATTGCTTTCATTTCTTCACATGGGAAGGATTTTTCCTGTCTTAATATTTTTGATACAATGGTTTGAAGCCTTTTACAATATTTCTAGATTATTCCATGTAACAGCATTTTGGGGAAGCTCAGGAATGTATCTTCGGTTCCGTTGGTAAGGGAACTCCAAATCTACATGCGTACACAAAAAACCTTCCCTGTGAATTGACTGAAGATGCAGCCCTTGATCAGAAAGATGGGAAACTTCGGTTAAGTATAACGAATATTGTATTGTACTATATTCCATGCCTGTATCAGTCGGTTAAAAGCAATATGCATAATGTCTAATTAATACACCAGGTATAAACTATTAAAAAACTATACAGATATTTTTGGTCCATCATTATTTATTTAACTTTAAAATCAAATTTCTCTCTACTTGCACCCCAAAGTGGTGTAGGAGGACATTACATACTTGTATTCATCAGGTTTTAATTCACTTTACGGCACAAAGGTGGTTCAACAGAAATTTTACTAAGAGTTTATGTGCATATACATTTGTTTTAATTCAGTATAAATGTGGAAGCATAGCATAGCAAGAGTGGTTTTGCCACTGCATTTTTTTTTTAACTTCAGAAAAAAAGTTGTTCAAAAGAAATGGCATATGCAAGGGAGGGAAATACTAATAATGTAAAGTTGGAAAAAAATAGAGCTGTGTAGGATTCATCTAACAGGGTATTAATGATTCCTCTGTCAAGGATCTGCATAGCTCAAAGGAGAACACTCCACGTAGTTTGTCACCGCTTGCATGCTCGTAAGAGAAGCCCACGGGGCTGAAATGCGCTGTTTCTCTGCACTGTCAGCTGAGGAGGTGTCGGGAGCACCCGTCTCCCTTTCACTGTACTTCACAGCTTTTCAAGGCCTCGAAAAGCTAAGAAACAATCAAGGAGTTAGCAGTCTTCAGCCCACTGCCAGGTGAGGGAAACGTTTGCCTTATTCTTTAGTTTAAATATAATCTTGGACTCAGTGTTTCCGAACAGGCGTGAATCTGCTGGATTTCTGGCTTATTGTCTGAGCCCAGGCAACGGCCGTAGAAGGCCAAGGTATTTTTGATTGTAAAAGGTGGAGCTAGGTTTAGTTATCAGTTACTCATAGTTGTTTGTTGTTTTTTTTTTTTTTTTATTCTGTCTCGTAATCTTGTAATTATCCATTTGTAAAGAGGGAAAAATGGAAATTTGGAAAGGCAGTTTTGACTGGCAAAGCTCTAAGCCGCCTGTTGGTGTTGTTAGCAGCTCCGCCATCCCTCAGTGCCAACTTTTACTGCGTACGTGTGTCACACTAAGCTCTTCTGCTTCCACTACTCAGGAGCTTTGTCATATTTTTTTACTATGTAGAAGAGCAGTTAGGAAGAATCCATAAAGCTGCTGAGAACTCAAAGTACAATTTATCTCGTGACAGTAACTTAGTTCAGTATAGGGAAGGCATAAAACTGTGCTTAAAAAATATTCATGAGAATGCAGCTGCATAGCTGAATTATCACTACCATAAAAATGGTTTATTTATACATATTTTACAGCAGCTACACCTGCCAGTAGTGCTGGGGAGATGCAGATAAACTCGGTTCTAGTGACCATTGGGCCACATCTGTGGAAACTGAAGAACTTTAATTTGTAACTTGTAGCCATTGAATGCGTTCTGTGTCGGGATGTGTTTTGGGTTGTGATTTTTCTCACAGAGGTAAAAATGATCAAGCCTTTATCGTACATCGTTTAGTAAGAAGCTTCCTGTTGTTAGCAGGTGAAGGGGGAGCAATAAAATCTTGTTTTAAACTGTGCTGTTTTGATCAATCCTTTTCCTTCCTCTCTAATGTTTTCCTGCGTAGTGTCTCTCAGTAATTTCAGATGTCTTGCCGTCCTGCCTGTCATCCTGCTTGTTACCAGAGATGTCCCTCTTCCTTTTCCCCCCCGCTGCGGACTGTTGCCAGTCTGTATTAGGTTTCAAGCATCTTTCAGCAAGAGTCTTGTCTGGAAAGATGTCATGCTACGGATGCCAGGCAAACAAGTCATAAATCTAAGTATATTTCTTGGCTTTTTGTGCGTTTGTTTGCTAGCTGGTAACACGGAGTAACAGCTCTCCGATGAGCAGGCAAGCTGTCTGTACCTGAAACCAAAGTTAGTTCTCATTTTAGGTTCTTGAGTTTACAGTGTACCTTTAACATTTGAACGGTTGGGTGCCAAAAGAGGCTTAGATAGTGTACCAGCGAATGAAATGTTTGCCAAGGTCGTCTCACTGACACTGGATAAGTAATTCGACAGGAGGCGCTTAATTCACGATAGATAAAAGGCTGCCACTTACCCTGCATCTCTTTCTGAAAATCTCTATCTGTGGATTGAGCCACAGCTTCCAGCTCCTCTCCTTCTATACATACAGAAGTTGCTTCAGGATTTGAAGTCATAACTGCTTAATGATTAATTTGCCTCCAGATTTTGATGAATTTTGAATCGGATTTTAGTTGAAGCTTAACATCCCACTCGTTTGCTTGGGGAGGAGGGGGCTGCTGTTGAGATGCCAATATATGCGCATGTGTGGGTACCGGATCTGGCACAGAGTGCGTGCGGTAGCGAGTGCCAAGCAGTAGCAGTATGTACAGTCATTTCTGAATAGTAACGCAGATGTAAAAGGGTTGTCTGAAGTAGTTAGGTGATGGTTAAATTTGAAGTGTAGTAAGCTAGCAGTAAGACTAAAAAAGAAAGAATAGTTTTTAAAGTATTAAAAAAAAAAAAAAAAAAAAAAGCCAACGCAGCCAGCTGATGAGATTCGGTTTCAGCGGAGAAGAGAAGTTTTGTCCTTCAAAACAGCCAACATTTTGTTCTTTCAGAAGCAAGGCTTTTACAGTGAGAAACCAAATAAGGCTTCGTGCGGCCTCTCGGCCCCGTCACTGTAGCTTCCCGGGCTAGGAATGGTGGGAAGAAATAGCTGCCTAAGCTAAGGGAGTTTCACTCCCCCCCCAGTGAATTACCGGGGGGGAGAATGGAGACAGAGAAAATGCAAGAGTAGATTTAAACTTCGTGGGGTTTTAGTGTTGAATTTCCATTTTGGTTAATGATGAATCGCTTCTTTTTTGGGGGTTTGGCTGCCTTAGTGAACAACGTGTGCCATAGTTCCCGTGAGCAACTGATGTATTACTGTGATCCGAGATCATTTTATTGAAATTCAAAGTTCTATTAAAAAAAAATTTCATTTGTCATGGGAGAAGCTGTCCAGAACTTTGGAATAACTGAAAGTTTTTTGCTCACAGAAAATGGTGAAGGAGAATATTAGGTTGCGTAAGTCAAACCTTACAGCACAGAAGCTGGATGATTGAGGGGAAAAAAATGCACAGAAAGAGGTGGTTCGGATATGCAAGCACTACTTTTTGAATTTTTTTTGTCTATAGAAAAAAAGTCTTGTATATTCATGATGAAAAGCCTAAGGTTGATAATTTCATCATTAACTCCTTTAAAAATCTGTTAGTAGATTCTCTTGTGTAACTACAGAGGTTCCCAAATATGGTTCAGGTGGGAATTGTTCAGGAAAATACTGTTAAAATCGTGCCAGATGACTTACCTTTGTTGTATTAAAAGGACCGCGTCTCTGCCAGTTTGGGGAAATTACGACCTGAGGAATAGCGTACGTGCTAGTTGTCATTGAGGTACTGATCTGGTGCAGAGTTTTAATAAAATCAATATTATTTTAGTCTCTTCCACTCTTAGAAGTAGCTTACATATAGGGAATTACAGGGGAATGTTGTGCCATGGATTTTTCCTTAAAGCGGTTAGACTTGGACTAGTATTTAAGTTGTTCCTGTTGTTTGGTAGGTTGGGTTTGGGCTGGGGGGAGCATCCCTCACTGGATACCCCTGAGGAGAGCCCGGCCCCACCTCCTTTCCTGTCTCCCGTCAGGTATTGATACACACGGATACGATCCTGCTGAGCCGTCTTTTCCTCAGGCTAAACAGCCCTGGCTCTCAGGCTCTCCTCCTCTGGCGGAGCGCTGCAGTTACGGCGAGGGGAGGAAGGAAATTGTGAGCAGATTGTGCCATTTCCAAACAGGGAACATAGTTTGGGAAAACCTACACGTATAAGATAGTGTTCATCCTCTCGGATCGCTTTGCAAAAAAAGAGTATCTGTAGATATATCTCTCTACCCCAAACCTTAGATGAGTTCCCATATCAATTCTGCATCCTATCGCATCCGTCCCTGGACGCTCCAGGAGCACACCGCTGGCCTTTGCTGCCCCTGTAACCCAGCACATTTTATGCTCAGCGTCTCGGCATGTGTTCAGTTTTGGGCCCCTCACTACAAGAAGGACATCGAGGCGCTGGAGCGTGTCCAGAGGAGGGCAACAAAGCTGGTGAAGGGTCTAGAGCACAAGTCTTGTGAGGAGTGGCTGAGGGAGCTGGGGTTGTTTAGCCTGGAGAAGAGGAGGCTGAGGGGAGACCTTATTGCTCTCTACAGCTACCTGAAAGGAGGCTGTAGGGAGGTGGGGGTCAGTGTCTTCTCCCACGTAACAAGTAATAGGACAAGGGGAAACAACCTCAAGCTGCACCAGGGGAGGTTTAGGTTGGATAGTAGGA